TAAACTTCCCCTGTTTAAGTTTGAACCCATTAACCCTTGTCCTGTCACTACAGTCTCTAATGAAGAGTCCCTCTCCAGCATCCCTATAGGCCCCCTTCAGATACTGGAAGGCTGCTATGAGGTCTCCACACAGCCTTCTCTTCTCCAGGCTGAACAGCTCCAACTTCCTCAGCCTGTCTTCATACGGGAGGTGCTCCAGTCCCCTGATCATCCCTGTGGCCCTTCTCTGGACTTGTTCCCACAGTTCCATGTCCTTTTTATGTTGAGAACACCAGAACTGCACACAATACTCCAGGTGAGGTCTCACAAGAGCAGAGTAGAGGGGCAGGATCACCTCCTTCGACCTGCTGGTCACGCTCCTTTTGATGTAGCCCAGGATATGGTTGGCTTTCTGGGCTGCAAGCGCACACTGAAGCCGGCTCATGTTCATTTTCTCATCCACCAACACCCCCAAGTCCTTCTCCGCAGGGCTGCTCTGAATCTCTTCTCTGCCCAACCTGTAGCTGTGCCTGGGATTGCTCCGACCCAGGTGGAGGACCTTGCACTTGGCATGGTTAAACTTCATGAGGTTGGCATCAGCCCACCTCACAAGCGTGTCAAGGTCCCTCTGGATGGCAAGTAAATACCTTACCTCTGAAATACTTCCAAAGTTTCTGTTGACGTTAATATCATCACTTACATAAGAATTAGTTTGCAACATCAAGGCAAGCCAATGACAAATTAAACCTTTTCATCAGAAAAGAGTGATAAGATACCTGACCTTTGATTTCAAATTTGTAGCAGCAGAAATTGTCTGCTTATTCTGGCTGTTATAAAGAAGCTGTTGGCTATAGTCACATACCTCAGTAGAATATCCAGACACTGTAAGTTGTTTAGGATCTGGAGATGTAAGCCAAGCAAGAAGCTGCAATTTTAACGTGGCACATGTGGAGGCTTGTTGAGGAAGGGTCGCTGTGGCGAGACTGGCATGAGCCTATGAAGCAGCTGGTTCCAACTGTTCCAAGACTGTATGCTACCCAGGCAGGTAAACGGGATGATTCTGTTCTTTTGTTTGGCTCCTGAGCCTAGGCACCACAGAGATGGTGTGAATGGGGGGGTCATCCTTCACCAGTCATCCATTTCCCCTTACTCTGTCTTAGGGAGATACACATTTACTGCTGTAAGTTTAAAGCCTTCATGACTTGTAGGCTGTGAGAATTTACCCATGAGGGATTTGAGTAATATGGCTGGTGGGAAAATCAGTAACAAACTGATCACAAACAGTTCTGAGAACAGTGATTCTACAGAGAATACAGTTCTAGAAAGAAATGTAAACAAGTTGTTTCCCCTTTACAGAGAGGGAGAGGGGAAAGGCCAAGGATAGAGATCAGCTGCTCCAACCACAGCAAGCTGTTGACTAGTGATCTCAGAAAGAGAATTACACTTTTCGTATTTAGGCTTCAATACTTAAAACCTTTCATATCTGGATTTTTTTTTAATTTCTGTTATTAAATCTATTTCTTATTCCATACAGATAACTCAGCTGAAAACAGCAATTCTGGAAAAATACAATTGTCTGGTTTACACCTTCAGAAGTCTCAAATATGTTACTTCTGTTTTTCAGTTTCTGTGAGGGTTTCTATTCTCAGATCATTTGAAGAAAATGCTAACATTACTTTATTAATCCTTTTCTCAAGTGAATTGGAAACATTTAAGCAAGCTATATGCCAAGTGCAGTAGTACAGGTATAAGTGGTAAGATCACGTAGCTGGTATTAATAAGCAATGGTTATATTGGCACTGCTTGCAGCAGAGACAGTGTTGTACTCAGAAAAAGTGCAGGCAGGAATGAATCCACAAAAATAATCCATCCTACTCCCTCACCCCAAATATGAGATCTGCTGCTATCCTTTTGTCATGCTTCAAGAATTTATTTGAGGGTTTGCAGCTGGTAGGTATGACAACAAAAAGATTGACTGTTGCAATTTATTCATTAACTCTTACTTGGGAGACTTCTAAATATTAAGAATAAGCAAACTGGGTCAGGCCAGTGCTCCACTGAGCACAGTAGTCTGTCTCTAACAATAGCTCTAAGCAGATATTCAAGGAAGAAAAAGAATTGCAATTACATTTGATGCTGCCTCCCAACCTCTGGACATTTTCAGCTGTGAGAATTTCATGAGACTGAGAGGTTTCGCTGTGAAACATTCCAGTCTTCCAAGTATTTTACTTGTCCAAGGCTTTCAAGCCTTTCTTGAAATCATGTAAACTTACAGAAATAACCTGCGGATTTACCTTTGCTTTGCTGTTTCCCACATTCTTTTTGGCCTAATTGTATTTTTATGTTTACCAAAATTCTTGTTCCTTTCTGTTATCTTTGAATGCAGTGTAGCTTTTTGCTATAGTTCAGACTGTCTCTGGTTCAAGTCTGGTATCCTTCAGCTTTCTCCTAAAAAATACTGTTTTTAAAAAGTGGTAATTCCAGTGTGAGATTGTTCTCTGTCAAGCTTGAGGGCTTATTCTGTAAAAAAGTAATTCCATCTAAATAATGCCACCTAAGAATGACATCTGCTTCATATAGCAATGTGTTAATAAACTGATGTCAATGATACTGTCCTGGATGGTGGTTTGACAGGTAGAGCTAATCCCATGTTTTTCTCAACTGGGCTTTGAATTTCAACCCATGTAGGTCATGTGCCTCTCCCTGAGGTGGCTGGTTTGCTGTGTTTGGAAACTATTTAGCCTCTCAACAGTCTAGTCTTCTGGCTAATGGCATCATCCCTTTCCATTTATGCTCACTCTTAACTCCTTCAGACCTCACGTAATGAATCCAGTTCAGCAAGGAGCACGTATCAGGAAAAACAACCAGAAAAGGTGGTATCTTACCACACTGTTTCCAGCACACCAGGAGCAAAACTGATCTATTGAATTCATTGTCATTGATTTCAATATATGTTGTAGGTATTTAAAACTGGGGGTTCATACCAAATGAATGCTAATCATCTGATAGAGCAATTTTTCTAATCTAAAACTGGTGCCTTGTACATAAACATAAGGAAGCCCGCTGTGTTTTTTCTTTAGCTGTTTGGCTGAAAATTATTTTTTTTGTGGTGAAATATAAAAATCCTTTGGCTTTCTGAAATTTCTAGAATTCTTTGAACTGATGCCCTTAGGGTAAATAGAAAAAAGGACTCTGCCCTTTAAAGGTGAATGGGGAAAGGAATTTCATTAAATTAACTGAAAGAGTTCTGTCTTTTAAGGGGAGGTACTTTTTAAATGGGAAACTTTGCTTTTAGAAAAAGTTTTGTCTTTTGTTTTAAACCTCCTTAGACTCTATCATGACTTTGCAGTATCACAGCTGTCTTTTAAAAAGAACTCTTTTAGGGTGACACCACCAACCAGGTTAGTATGTAACACCATAAGGACATATTACTTTATTTCTCTGTAAGCTAGTCTCTCAAGGAAGGGAATGGGCTGAGGAGCATTGACTGGAAGAAGACCATGCAACTCAAAATGGAGTTTAAGTATTGGGTTTGCCAAACAAAAGCTTTCACTTGGAACAGACTTGTTTTTTTTCAGTCACAGATTCCTAGCATCAGATAATTAGGTCAATATTTAGGCACCTAAATAAGTGTATCCTGGCATTTAAAAGTACTAGATATTCCCACACTGATAGAGGATTGAAAGAATTTCAGTTGCTCTGAAGTTTTGGGGTTTTACTACACATTCATCTGTTTGACAATCCCTTTCTTTGTTCTAATGAGCATTAGAGGAGGACACTTGCTGTGAAGTGGAAGATTCATAAAGAAACATGAGAACCATTTGCAGTTAGTTATAAGTAATTGCTTGGAAATACATCTTCTCTCTTTTTCTCTCTCACTGTCTCCAGTGAGTATAAGACTTTACATAAGCAGTGTACATTTACTCAAGGGAAAGACTGTCCTGCTTACAGAAAAAAGGGTGTTCAAATCCTGAGGGTACAATAATGCTGCAGACAGTGGCACACTCTTTCACTTCACAGTTTCACTTATCAAACTTAGCTGCTTCCTCTCTGGGCGTTGGGAAATAGAGTAGGAACCTAACTTAGGTACTCTGAATCACCCATCGGAAGACTCTTCTCTCTCTGATTATATAGGAGTTCTGTGAGGACTTACTCAAAGTTGAGTGCCAAGAGTTCCATGATCAGTGTGTTAACACTAGCCTTCCTGGAGGAATGGGGTTACAGCAGATAGATAGTAACACTGCTTTGAACTGCTCTGCTATGTCATTTGTACCTAGAGCTGATCTCATAAGAAAAAGCATGTTGGAGAGGAAAACTCCTGAGGATTGCTGAGGATTGGAAAACTGTTCTGAAGAAGAGCCTGTATAATACTTTCTTAACAAAGGGACATAAGGCGTAGTTATTCTGATGAACGAAGATTTCTTATATTGAAAAAAAGAATTAATTGAAGCTGCCATGCCACATCACTTTTCCTGGATTCTACAAACTAGCAGATTCAATGAATCAAACACAAAGAAAAGTACAGTGTTTTCCTTTAAATCCAGATAATGCTGTGCAAGAGTAAGAGTAAGGGTGGTACAGAAAATACCATGTTAGAAAAACAAAAAGGGTTTGATGATGTCATGCCTCAAACTACCTCTTAGGCATAGTATTAACAAGTTAAACATTTACACTAGGTGGAAATGCAAACAAAATAAAGAGAATTATTTCAAGTGATGACATTAGTTAAATAATCTTTCAGTTTGATGTCTGTCATATTAACTGCAGAGGCACATACACTTAAAATAGATATATTTTACTATGAAGATTTTAATCTAGTGTTACTACAAGAAGCAGTTATGCATACTAATCAGAAATACCAGAGGTATCTCAATAGTAAAACATTCTGCCCAATAAGTTTATTCAGTTTAATTGGTGATATTTTAGAGAAGCAGATCTTTTCACTTCTATAATCTCTTAGCCATGGATTCTATAAACACACTAGCAAAATTAAAAGTATTAGAAAAAAAGACTCAAAAAAAAAAACCAAACCTGAGGTAGTTTTTAATATTGGGCTCATAACATCTGATCTGAGCACTCTTCATGTCGTTGTACTAATAGCAATCAATATTAGCTCCCTGGAAAATGTTAGTGTAAAGATAACTCAGTAAAGAAACAGCACAGGAAAAGATTAATATAGAATTTTAATGATTAATTTGTAAATGGGTGCCTTCACTTGCTGAAACAATGGCAGTGTCCAATGGAAAGGAGTACAGGGAGCTGAGGTGCCCCAGGAGCACAGGGAGCACCCGTAGTTCTGCATCCCTCCTCAAGGGTTTGTCTCTAGTTACACACAAAAGCTCATCAGGCAGCTCCAAAAGCAACGATGCATATTAGAAACTTCTCACTGAATTGAAATACTGAAATACCTGAGAAAGAGCAGGATGATGAAAAAGATGCTTCTTGCTTGCACCTAAATTATGGTGATTATAGCAGTGACAAGCTGGGCATGAAAGACAAAACATCAGCAGCTGTGTAACCCACTCAAACAACTGTGAATTCAGCTCGCTTACGACAGAAGGGGGCTTGTGATTCCTTTGCAAAAGGGCAGTGGCCTCTGGCAGCAGCCTCTGTGGGAGTGCCAGTGGTAGAGGAAGGATGGCAGCAACCAAAGCATCCCCTCTTGCGCTGCTTGGCTTCCTGCGTGCTTCTTCTGCTGTCTGTTCTGGTTTCATCCTCTCCCTCCTGTCTGCCAGCACCAGGCAGCCTGGGGGCATGGAGAGCAGCTGTCCCAGTGCTCCGAGGGAGGAGGCGGCCCTGCAGGAGGGCCCTGTGGCGCTGCCGGGCAGTGGAAAACCACACCTGTGGTGACCATTCCCTCTCTATCCCCAGCGCCACACTTGGCAGCTCTCCCTCCCTCCTCAGCAGCAGAAAATGAACTGGGTCGGCGGGAGCCGGTAAGTGAAACTTCAAAGGCTGCCAGAAATGGCTCCGTGCTGAGTAATTGTCCCCTCACAGACCGGGCACAGCCATGGTGGATGTGACAGCCCCAGTGTCCCCTCACAGACCAGGCTCAGCTCCTTCACAGACCAGGCTCAGCCATGGTAGATGTGACTGCCCCAGTGTCCCCTCACAGACCAGGCTCAGCCATGGTGGATGTGACAGCCCCAGTGTCCCCTCACAGACCAGGCTCAGCTCCCTCACAGACCAGGCTCAGCCATGGTAGATGTGACAGCCCCAGTGTCCCCTCACAGACCAGGCTCAGCCATGGTGGATGTGACAGCCCCAGTGTCCCCTCACAGACCAGGCTCAGCTCCCTCACAGACCAGGCACAGCCATGGTGGATGTGACAGCCCCAGTGTCCCCTCACAGACCAGGCTCAGCTCCCTCACAGACCAGGCACAGCCATGGTGGATGTGCAGCCCTGGTGTCCCCTCCTGAACCAGACTGTGTGACAAGATGTTGATGTCCTCCCATACCAGGCAGGGTGGGTCATGTTTGGCCCTCTGTCTCTGCAGACTGGGCCTGTCCTTAATGTCCTCACTAATGATAGTGATTACCACTGGGGAAAAATATGTGTAGTTCTTGAGATTCACTGAAATAGTAAAATAATCACTGAGTTGTAACATTAAAAAAAAAAAAAACCAAAACAAACAAACCAAGGTTACCATTCAGTTTCTTTAGGTGCCTATCTACTAGAAATACAAACCCTGCAGATTTTGTCAGCCATTTGAAAGCAGCTTTGTGAAACACAGCTTTATAGTCATCTTTACTCCAGAATCAAACTAGAAGGATGCCTTACCCGTCTGGAAGTTGTGCCAGCAATATGAAGTTTCTGGAATTTGCCCCTGTGAAACAGATGGAAGGGACAGCTTCAGTTTGAGAAAAAACCCTGACCATCCCAACTTCATCCTAAATAGCTATCATGCTGCGCTGTAAGGAAAAGCAGTGTGTAGGAGTGTTGCACTCAGCAAATAGCAAATCACCCTGCTGTTTTCTGCTGCTGTTGATTATCTGCTGGGGTTCCTCAGTGAGGCTGGGATTTACATTTTAGGTAAATGTTATGCAAGGGTAAATGTTACATGCATATGTTTGGAACGTGTGTTTTAACATTAAGCACCATGAAAAAAGAAAAAAAAAAAGTAATTCCAAGGGGATAATCCTTATTTCTAACTCTGAAAAAAACAGCCCTCATCTTATCGACCCAAGGTCTGCAGCCATGCTCACCCTGCTCACAGCAGTTACCCATAGCTCCAGTTTTATGCAACACCTCCTGTAGGCAATGCATTTAAGATTATATTTAACCAGTGAGAAATGTAGTTTAAGGTATAACTGTCTTTTAATATTGCACCAAGAACAGCAGCTTGATAAAACTTGTAGTGACAATCAATTTTTCTTACCTTTTCTACAAAATGTTTACAATATTCTGTGAAGTCCCCAAAGGTAGAAACTTGTATTGTGCTCTTTTGTTTCCTTTGCCAATATGGTTTTGTAACTATGTTGCAGCATGACAAAGAAAATTAGGAGAAATTAATATATTGACAAGGATTTCTGACAATTTTTTAAGAAATTAAGAATTGATTAAATGCTGCATTACAGGTCAAATGGCAAAAAGCTTTTTATTCTGAATGTTCAATGTATTTGGTAGCTCTAAGACAGAATGTGGTCCTGTACTTACCTGAGTAAACCAGTATCAAAGTGACTTCAACAGACATATGTTGACTTTACTACCTGAAGGTTTGATCCATCATAACATAACATCAACATCAACATCAACATAACATCACATCAACATAAACATAACATAAGGGAACATAATTTGTGTCCTAAATTCTCAATACCATTGATGAGAAATTCAAGCCATGACTCAGGATTATGCTTTTACAATTAAAACAAAATTTATTTGCATCTTTCAGGAGCAGAATCATACTAAAGCAGGAAAGGAGAAAGCAAAAGGTAAGCAGTTCTAGGTATCTTTGATTTTACATTGTTACTTAAATGCTTTAGTTGATTCATTTAGGCAAAAACTTTCAAAGCATTTGGAGTGAGACTCAAAGCTATAGCATAACAGTTGTAATGGTTACCTAACTTCATGTAACTTTTAGGACAGAAATCTTGTTCTAGGATTACTACACTGAATTCCAGCAGGAAGGGGAGGGAGTAGGAGAAGGCATGAATGAATTAATTCATCCAATTGAAGTTGTACTGAATTAATTCTGTTACTATATTTTGTTGGTATGCGCTGACACATGGGATTGCTTGAAGCCTTACTGCGACAACTACATGGTCAGCTGGCCTAATACTTACACATAAACACAGCTATTTCCTGGGCTACGTAAAAGAATGTTAGGCTCACTGAAGTACTTTATTTGGCATTTGCAAAAGTAGGCCAGCTTATTTGTATTTTGAATCTGGAAGTGAAGTGATAGAATCAAATTTATCCATGGCATAGCAGAAGACATTTCAAACAGGAAAGAGGAAGAAAACAGTACAATAAAGCAGTTATAACTATAGTAAAGATAAGTCAATTTCCTCCCCAGCAGCAGGGAAAAAAGAGTATAGGGAAGCTCCATCACTGTGGCTGACCAGGGCAGGTGCATTGGCATATACAGCAGGAGGAATACCAGGCTGACAGTATGGAGACAATCTCAGAAATTAAAACCTTTACCAAAGGGAATGCAGGAGCAACCAGCAGCTTGTTGTTCCTATAACTTTCCCAGTCTCCTGGAAGCCTGTGAGTTCTCAAAAGATCTGTTTTTTCAGGATTCATTTGTCTGAACCACAGAATTTACATTAGAACTATGTAATTTGCTTCAGTGTAGGAAAGAAAACAAATAAGATAGATAGGATTGTTTTAGTAATTTTATAATTACTGAATTACTAAATACAGTGGTAATTACACAATTAGTAGCAATTTAGTAAATTAGAGGTAATGCAAAGAAAAGATCTGAGATACTGAAGGGGCATGGGTACATTTTGGGCGTGTGGACTCCAAAGCAGTATGAATTTTGAAGTGTTGATGTGTACATAGGCTGAATTCACCACATTGCAAATAGCCTTCTTAATTGAAGAACAAGTATTTTCCATAGATGGTAACATCTTAGAATGATAAATATTGTGATATAATAAAATATATGGGAAAATAGTTACCAAGGGACAAGCTGGGTATATTAGTTACATGTAACCTGCAATAATGGTAGGAATTACATTTCAGAAGAAAAGCTGATGCTATTTTGTGTTTTGACATAGCCTTAGGTTTTCAATATCCTCCTTGTGATTAAAATAAAGAAATCTTACTGGTTTTATTTATTCATCTGCTGTGCTTGATGCCAGTGGTTGTAGGATGATTATTAATAGTCTCCTATAAAATGCAGATTTTTTTGTTTCCTAAAATTTCTATAATCATCTGCTTGATACATTCAAAGTGTCAATCATCTCTATTTATTTCTTGCAACAAAAAGCCTTTCTGGAGTCCCAGTCATAGAGATTTTTCTTCTTTACTTTTTTCTCTTTTTTTTTTTTTTTTTTGGTCACAAGATTATTTTCTGTATCAAGAAAGACAAATTTGGAGAACAGTAAACTCTTTATGTCATTAGAGATGGCTGTGTGTATGTAATCTTGCTGACTTAACTTGCCTACAATCTTGTAAGCTGCCTAAAAAGCCCAAGTTTAATTTTTTTCCAACTTTTTCCTTGCAGCATTTCATAAGTTTTTTATTTTAAAGAAATATTTTTAATGATCATACAAAAAGTTTGAGGCATGCGTGTTTAAAGATCAAGCTTTTGGCATTAAGAGAACAGTGTTTAATTTTGAATATGACCAAATTATGCTTGCAGTCTTTCAAGGTAATAAAAATAAAATAAATAACAGTAGGCAGGGTGTGAGGATTTAGAGATTTAATCGCGTGCTTTTATTGTTAGGAATGTTTGCTAAGTCTTGCATGCTGTTTTCAAAAGGATTATATATGCTTCTAACTTGTCTCTGAAGCTTCTATCAAAAAAGTTGTTCTCTCTTTTAAAAAATCTAGGAATTCTTTGAAAAGAAGAAACTTAAATCAAAGATGAAGCTTCTGGGAGTGTCATCTCCTGGAAGTTCAGCAGTCAGTTTAGATCTCCTCAATCTATATGTTGTGAATCAGATATCAACCAAAAAAGACAACTCTGGTGAGTTTAGTATAGTTAGCATTCTGACTTCACTGCTGACAGAATCAGTTGTCCTTAAGTATTACTGTTATTATGTCAGGTCTTGTTCTTCCACTTGAAACTTCATGCTCAAATAAGTGTTGTGTTATTTTTAAAATAAACAATTGTGAGTAAATATAAAAATTATGATTGAATAAAAATTCAGTACATAAGAGGAATCAACGAACTCTGGCTACTGCCTACTTCACCTTTAAAGCCTTGTATACTTGTGTACCTTCCTCATTCCATTCATCAATTTTACCCTACGTACATTTGTTTTTCCCTTTGCCATTGAATGGGTGTATTTGTATTCCACTTCCCTTTTCATAACTTTTGGGGGGCATTTGGAATAGTCTGTCAATTCTACCCAGAGTATCTTCCTTAAAATCCATAACTAAGCTCCTAAAAAACATCTGTGCAACTTGATTCCTAACTCTTTGTAACTGGTGCTTAGGGACATGGTTTAGGGTTGGACTTGATGATCTTAAAGGTCTTTTCCAACTTAAATGAGTCTATGATTCTTATCCATTGTGACATATTCATTAACCAGATTGTGGAGAATTTGTTGTTGTGTGCTCAGGAAGATTAAAAGGTGACTGAAGAGGGCAACAAAGCTTGTCTACACACAGCAGCTGACTATAAATAATTTTATAATGCCATTTAGAATAAAGCTGTTGCATTGCTAGTAAGAAAGAAAGCAAAAATATGGCTTTAAATTAATAAAGATAATCTAAAACAACAGCTTTTGTACTTTAGTGAAAATTCAGAAAGCTCAAAACTTTCTCCAAACCCATCACTGACATTCCAGATACTTTCATTGCAGCGTGCATGAGGAAGCCAGTACACATTGATATTACTGAAGATGTAAAAATACCTGCTAGGAGGCACAACATAGAGCTTCCCACGTCACCATTGCATACACAACGTATGCCTAACTTAGATGACATCCAGAACAGGTACTTGTATAATACAGGCTATAGTGAAGTTATAATAAAGTCCTGGTAAACGTATTTCTTGTTGGTGTTATATCTGGGCTATTAAGTAAACATAAATACACCATTCTAAGATGAAGAAGTTTTACAATCACTCCTGGTATTCCTGTGATACTCTTTCTATGACAGAGTAAATAAATGTATTCTAAACAAAAAACTGCACAAAACTGAGAGATTAAAAAAAAATTTCTTTACTTAATGTCAGATACATACACTAAGTTTATCTGACAGAGCTGGCTATTCAAACAGCCTTTTCCACTTACACTGTTTTCCCATTCAACTTCAGACACCCTAAAGTGACTGACTCACACAGTGACTGCTCATAACTGCTTAAGAATCAGGTCTGTTTAAGATGTGTGGAAAAATATTTTTATATTGTTTTGAAATTAATACTCAATGGGTTTAATCTTATAGATCTTATATCTCGTATATCATAGGCTGGTTTTATTTATTTTACAAGGTTACAAAAGCAAGTTTTGGACAGCAGAAGGCAGCATCTCTCCGAGAAAATAAAATGCCAGCATAATGTGAGTATATCATTCTCACTGATGTAAAGCTAAAAATGTGCAGCAGTGACTATATTTTTAAGTGATTTTTCAAAGAGTGACCCAATCTCATGGATGCTGAATTGTGAAGTCTTCTTTAAGGCTATATTGATATGTTATTTGCTAGTCATGTTTTATATCCATTCCTGCTGTTTCTTATGTATTTCTAGAAAAGCTCACCTTTGTGCTCTAAGCTAGTCACAAAGGACAGAGACTGTGGGAAAGAGACTGAGGCCAACAGCAGAAAATCAAAAACAATATGCAGAAATGTGAAATGATGAAATGTAAACAGCATAGACAAAAGTTGAATCTTTAAGAGGAACTTAAGTACAAGTCTTAGTGGATACAATTGAGAAGTTCATGCAGTCATTGAGGTTACAGTGAAAAACATTCTCTAGATGGATTTTAAGTGGGTTTTTTTAAGACCTGTTCCACTGTTGCATAAAAACCCAATTAAACAAACAAAAAAAAAATCCCCAAAACCAAGCTAGTAATTCTGTTAGAAAACACTTAGTTTGCGTAGCAATGTAGCTGTAGATACAGTAACATTTCATGAGTTTTGTCTTCAAATTTCTACTTGTGTTCTGATCTGCTTGAAATAGCATTGTTGGTTTCACAACATGTTGGAGTTGTCTCTTCAATGGAGTCAATTATTTTCATTTTACTATCTAGGAACTAAGTCAGCCAATCATTTACCTACACATCTAGTGCTAAAAATGGATTTATACCCATCTGTCCTCAGGATAACATTTGTGTACATACTTCAGCTTAAAGTAGGCGCTTAGGTGTTTCCCTGAAATAAGCCCTTATTACTGTATGATTTCCATGAAAAAATCCTATCAGAATACATGAAACTTTTCTCTTGCTGTTGTATATGTGCAGAGATGTAAAAGATATAAAAAGTTTTGATTACTTTGAACTTTATGCTGACATCAAAACATTTTTAGGTAAATAAAATGTCTCTCTGCTATGTTTTGTCTAGTTACCACAAGTAACATATGCTGACTCTAGTATGGAATGTGAAGACAGCACAGCAAGTGCTTTTAGTGCCTGTCCATTGTCTTCTTCTGTTTGTTGGTCCTCTAATTGTACACAACTTTCAGAAGAAAATTTGAGCACAAACCTAATGGGTCACACTTGGGAACAGACCTATGAAGAGAAGCTGCAAACCCAGGTTTTATGAATATTTTGTCATTTCCACAGAATTATTTTAAACTAACATTCATTTATTTGGGGTGTAAAATTAGTGTAGTGGTGAAGATAATTGTAAACAATCAGCATTTCTTGTAGGCTGGTATTGCCAATGAATATTCCATATATAGAAATGTAGTTCTGTTATTGTTATGAAATGCACTTGAGCTTTTGTTCACTGAGCTTCCAGTATTACTAATATCTGCAAAAAGAGAGATAGTCACATACCACTACCTTGCTTTTGTTTCTGGCTTGTAAAGTTGCTTAAAGAAAGCTGAAATGTATTACAATTATAAATACAGCTTTCTTAACTGTACAGTTAGTGTAACTGAGTATAGTTATAATCTCAGGTGATCACCGTGACCTAATTTGTAGTCATGCAGTGAGTAACATAGTTCTTACAGTATTCATTTCTGTCCATGTAAGGCTTATGGAGCTAGACCTCCCGGAGGCAATTGCAAGGTACGTAAATATCAAGAAGGTGACAAGGAACAGCCATCATAGATTTACCAAGGCCATACTATGCCTGTTGAACCTGATTGCCTTCTGTGATGAAATTACTAGCTCTATGCATAAGGAAGAACAGCAGATATTTACTTTGACTTTAGCAAGGCTTTTAAAAATGCTTCTCATGGGATCCTAGTAGCCAAAGTGGGGAGGTATGAACAAGATGAGTGGATAGTAAGATGGGTAAAAAACTGGCTGTAACAATCATGCTCAAAGTAGTTGTCTATTGGCTAAAGTCTAATTGATAACAGGTTAGTAATGGCAGGAATCCCCAGAGATTAATACCAAGTCCACTACATCTTTATTAGAGACTTGTATAGTGGAACAGTGTGCACCCTCAGCACCATAACAGGTTCATGTGTCACACCAAATAGGCAGAGTGATCATTATGTTAACAGGGCTGCTGTTCAGTGGCATCCTGACAAGCAGATGTCCACCATGAACTTCATAGAGTTTAACACAGAGAAGCCCCACACATCAGGTGACTGATTGAGTAGGCAGCAGTTTTGCAGGGAAAGGCCTGAGGGTGCTGCTGGGCAGAAAGTTGTCCATGAGTCAGCAGTGTGACCTTGTAGCAGCAAAGGCCAACTACACATAGAGGGCTGTATTAGAAAGAGCATAACCAAGCAGTCATAGGGAAGTGAGTATTTCCCTCTGAGCAGCGTCTGTAACAACACATCTGAAATGCTGTGTCTGGTTTTGGAACTGCCAGTACAAGAGAGAGATCAACAAACTGTAGCAAAACCAATGAAGTGCCACAAAAATTTTCAGGGCATTGGAGCACATGATGACTGTGGAGAGACTGAGCAAAGGTTTGTGTGGCCTGGGAAAGAGAAGGCTATGGAGATGTGGGGTGAACTAACTGCTGTCTTCCACAGTCTAAACAGTCTTATAAGCAAGGCAGAGCCAGAGGTACTCGGCAAAATGGCAAGAAGTAAAAGTCGCAAGTTTCAACAGTGGAAATTCTGTTTGTATGGGAAAAAATATGGTCACAAAAGTAGCTAAGTACCAGAAGAGGCCATCCAGACAGGTTGCAGAATCTCGGAACTGAGCAATCCTGAGCAATCTGGATGAACCTTGAAGCTGGCCCTGCTTTGAGCAGGTTGGACTAAACACATCTGGAGGTCCCTTCCAGACAACAGCTTGCAATGATGAATTGATCTTCAGTGGAACTTCAGCGGAACTTCAGCTTGTTACAGGCTATCAAGCTTGTTCATACCATGGGAAGAGGGGTGCTCAAAAGACATTTTGCATAATAACAGTAATACATAAATATGGAAAAGTTTGAGTTATACAGTACTCAGGCTGTAAGGAGATGTGGGCTTCTACTGTAAAAAGAGTAGGAAAACATGTATATTGTTTGCAAACCTAACTTTAAAGTTTTAAACACTGTAACTACTAAACATACTCAGATTTTGACAGCTTCTACTATTTTCTCAGCCAGGAAATAGTTCTGATCAAGACCCTTGTGTTACAGAACCTCCAAGCCCGTGTATTTTCAGAAAGTCTGATACAGTGCCTCAGGAACTGTTAAAGCCATTGCACAGGTAGGCCGTGTTTTTACACTAATGAGAGAAATAACAGTCAAGTTCAAGTAAGAAAAATACTAAGATAATCTGAAGATTATTGCTACTTGATTTTTCACTGATTTTGGTGCTTTTCAAATAGAAATTGAAATGAAATGGAAAGACTGAACATGCCAAGCTATTTAAATTTGCTAGAAGCAGAAAAATATTAATTTTAAGTAGGCCCTTAGCACCGTGATCTATTTTTTGCAACATCACAAACATGATGGTATTACAGGATTCACCCCAAGCGAGAAGCATGGATTTGCTAAGAAGCCACAGGCAGGGAAGCTGCCCTGCTCTCATTAGTTCTGGCCACTTTTGTTGATGACCTTGATGCTGTAGTCATTAGCAACTCTCCACCTACATTGTTTATATACAGGATTCCATGAACACAGCATTTTTTTTTTTTTCCCATATGTGATCCTACTATAGCTTTTTAAAAAAAACCTCAATTGTTTCAATAATACTTTTATGAGAATATACACTTTGTTTCTGAAAGAATGGATAGAAATCTGGAATACATTTATTTTTGTGTATGTTTATTAAAAATCCTTTTAATCACAGAGGATTTAGGGCCAGACTTGTTTATACAAAACATTTTATTTTAGTTTCTTTCCAGGGCCTTTTGCCTGGGATCTAGGGGTCTTACAGGGCTCATTTTTCTTTACTCTTTTTATTCTCTATGTAAATCTGCTGTCTGGTTGAAAGTTCCTGTCAATCTCTAGCTTTGGCTGAATAGAGCCATAAAAAGGCTGTGTGTTATTTTGCTGTTCTGAAGTACCTACAGCCTGTTTGCCCAGGGAGTCAAGTAACTGATAAACTCACTGACCACATGATAACTAGGTGAATGCATCAGCTTCCAGTCTTAGCCACCTTAACTTTCTCTGTTCTCTTAGCTTCTCCCAGCTTTCTCCAGCAAAACCTAAAATGAGGATAACCTTCACCTTGCTATGTATCTTGACGAATTCCTGATGAATATCTTTAAATTAAACCCTATATAACCTCATCTTGCCTACATCTCCCCTTTCATTTCTCCACAGGCCCTCAGACCTGCACTCATCTGCTTATGGCACTTACATTACTCCTCTGCCCATTCATGGCTCACTAACAACATCTTTCCAGCTGATCTTCAAATCCATTTCTTTGCATCGTGCTTGATTTGTTTTCATCCATTGTAGCCATAAATTCTTCTGTCTCAAGAGCTGATAGTTCTCCTGCAAAGGGAGTTCCTTTCACTGTATATGGAAAGTAGAGTACAAGTTTACACAATTGTTTAATGTAATTGTAACATACCAATGATACAGCCAGTATGCATACATGAGAACTGTGGCACCTCAAGATGATTAAATATTAACTAAAAAATTTAAATGTCGCATTTCTTCATCTGCTACCAACTTTTATTTAGCATTACAAAATGTTCTGCTGGAATAAAGAAGGAGCCTCTGAATCACTTCACAAAATGGTTTTACCTTCCTCATGTAGATCCACCCAGGTTTCTCCAGAAACAAACTCTAGGGTGTTTTGCCTTTTAAAACTGTTCTGGGGAGGTTTCTATATGCAGAGGACACCACTTTCTCATTTAAATTCTCTAGGATCTTCATCCAGTTCCAAGTATTCACTGATCAAACCATTATAGATTTTTTTTTTCCAGTAAGAGTTTTCTGTACCTTTTATCAGTTTTCAAGTTCCATTAATAGCATTGCTCCATCTATTTTAAAGAAAAGTCATTTTTTTTGAATGGCCTTTGCCAATTTTCTGTGCTTCAGATGCCTCTCAATTCTTTGCTGAGATTTTCTGAAAGGTCGGTCACCAGATCAAGCCTAGAAAAAAGCTGTGAAAGTGTTAGGAGCCAAGTAAGTGAAAGCATGACAGCTTTTGTGCTAACGATGCTATGGCAGCATCTTCCAAACCACTTCTATCAGAAGTGGGCAAAACAAAATGTCTGACTGGCCTCCTGACACAGGAACAGAAAAATCCCATGCTGAATTAGGATTGCTGCCCTCAAGTACAAATGGAAGTCACTTGCTAAGGAGACCAGGATTCAAGCAATACACAGAGTTTATCATAGGCTTCCAGTACATGAGAGAACTGTAGTATTGAAGAACAAACCATTTTTGTGAAAGGAAGAAGCTGTCTTCCTCTTTTCTTTCTTTTTTTTCCAAAGTGGCCTTCTTTGGTCAGCTGGTGGAGCAGCAGTGACATACTGTGGCTGATTTTATAAACCACACTTCCGTGCTCAGGAGGGTGTGCTCCATGTCTTGGTGTTTGGAGACATCATGAAGCAGAAGCCCTTTTAAATCAATCTTACTATAAATTGGAAGTAAAATACAGGAAAGTTTATCAGTTGATGTAATGTACATTTGGGACAAAAGTGTGGTGGTCAGTAAAATCTTTGAGATTTTTATCATCAAGTTATCATAATTTGTCAACTGTAACAGTGTTTTGCTTATTTATGTACTGAACAAACTGTTTGTTCTTTTCTACTCCCCCTCCATGTCATTCTGCAGGCTAGACTATATGAATTTTTCCAGGAAAAATCCAGTGATAATGACCAAAAATGAATCAGAAGACAGTGAAGGAATAGAAGACACATTGTTTGATGTTGTGAAAGAAACTTCAGAACTGAAACCTGAACAAGATGGAAGTGATTGTTCCTTTCTGGCACTGTTTGAAGATGAGAGCAAACCAATCAATATTAATCGTCCCACAAAGCATTTTAATCCTTTTGTTAACCAAAGCAGCACTGGCATGTTTTTCATGGATCCTGATGACAGACATGAAATGACCAATAAAAATCATCCTTACTATGCTAGAGAAGCTTATCCTGCAATCAATGAAAATAATAATTCTGTAGACAGACACCTTGAAGGCATTTTCACGGCTCCAGAACAGGTTTTACTTAAAAGTAACAATGTCTTAAGTGCAAGCTGCCAGAAAAGCAGTGACCTTCATAACACTCACCTGCAGGACTGTCACGAGGGACAGCACTACTTCATAGCCTCTGAAGAGAAAGGAGCGCCTTCAAACCTTGAGAAAATTGGTGTGTGACAGTACTTTAAGGACATATATTCTGGGTTTCATTCTCCTTTTAAAGACATACGTTTTTATAACCAGAGATGTGTCTGCCCTGACTGAAAAAAATGTCATGAATGTTCAGGATGCAGTAATTTAATTTTAAATCAGTATATAAATTATCTTTTGAAGTTCACAGAAGCATTTATTTTCAAATTACATTTATGCATTTTAAAATCAAAGGTTACTTTTTTATTTATTTATTTTAGAAACTTCTGCTTATCACCATGATCAGTGGATTAACTTACAGGAGAGTGTGCAGAACTATTCAAGACAAAAAAGGTGAGTGCCACAGAAATTATCAATCCCTTAACTAGTGATAGCTGCAGAGATGTTGCTGAATTGAAGACATCCTAAGAGGACATGAAAGCAAAATTCTAACCAGTATTACTGAGGACTAAAGTTTTCTCAGTGGAAATAGTTGTGAATAATGTGAATAAATTTATGCTCAAGTAAGCCCTTTGTACCACTGTTCATCTGCCTATAAAAAGTACAGAGAAAGTCTACTTTATGGGACAGTTTTGAGTCTCTGAAGCTAAGCTGCTGCTCTGACTTGCTCTCTGAAAGCCCCTGTCTCCTTCCACTGACTGCAGTGGAAGCTAATGTTTTCCGTCAGCTGAAGTTAGCAGGTGTGAGTGCCCCATGTTTTACAAAAGACTGTTTTATCAAAGACTCTGATCCATAACACCTTCCATTTTACAAAGCAGCAGCACTATCTTCTATCATCTCTCAGATTTGCATTTCAACATAAACAAATTTTGTGAAAAAGAGATGCTTGGTGTTAAATCTCGGGCTCAGAAATAAGTGCAGTGATTTCGATAGTGGGAAGCATTTCAGACAAAATACAATCTGAAAGACAAAAAAATCACCAGTAATGACTTTAATTCAGAAAGAAAAGTACAGGAGAGGAAATCACTTACCAGAGAACTCTGTGTTTGCATCCATCAGTGACGAGTCTGTGGGAGAATCAGCCTGGAGACAGAACCAGCTCTTTGGATTTGAAAAGGTAACTTTTTAAAGAAAGAGATACATTCTTTATCAAAGCTATTGTTTGCACCATTAAAAAGAATATCCACAATAGTTAGTAACTGAATATCGCTTCACTGGATTAACTCCTGTGGAAGCTTCTTTTCTGCCATGGTGTATATAAGGAATCCAGAAAGAACATCTTCTTGTTAAGTGATTCAGATAGCCCATATGTCCATAATTCATGTCCATAATTTACATGTCTTGATTCATACCTAAGCTCATATCTGAAATACATTGTGTAAGTAAGTTACCCATTAACCCTTAGGATCAGGTTCTGCAGGCAGTGCTCAGATATTATATGCAGGACACTTCAGGATTATAAAGGAGCTTTATGCCAGCATGCATATAAGTAGTCTTTTAGATATTTTGCCTGTAGAAGTCACCCAGGTACATACGGTGTTGCTCAGGTGTTTTGTACCTCTTAAGTTAATTTGCAGTACAGTGCAGTGAGTCCCTTATGTACTACAGAAACTGAATGTTCCCCACCTAACTAAGGTGCTGATCCAGCTGAACCCTCACTATTAACACTTCATTATTTTTAAAAGTTCACAACAGCACACGAGAAAGAGTTCAGCGTGAGTTCCAGTCTCCGCCAGATGAAGAAGGGTTAGTACTATCTATACATTATTAATTACAAAATCAGGTTTTTCTTCACATATGAAACTGAAACAGTGACTTGTAAAGCCAGGGAGAAGTGTTCTGATCTTTTCAGGATGTTACATTTGATGAGGGTTTGTTGTTTTGATTTATGCAGCACTGTATCAAGACAACTAGCATTACCAGGTAACTAAGAACTGTGTTTGCTTTTCCTTGAAGAGACAAATTCAGGTTAACTAACTCCTCTCTGGTGAGTATTACACACATATTTATTTTACCTCTTCCCATTTGCTCCAGAGTTGTCTGCTAAATAGAAAAGCCAGCTCTGACAGTAGGGGTAACTGCTAAAACCTCTATAAATTAATCCAAAAGAGAGGTCAAGAATGTTGATCTGAGCACCAGAGCTGAACTTTACTAACCACCATATAGTGAAAGTTCCAAGTGGATGCTAGTAACTTTCTATTCCTGAAGACGTCTGCTGATTGGAAGAAATCTTGGACATGTTTTCTGTATTAATTATTATCTTCATTAGATGTTTGACATGTGGCATTTTACTCGTCATTCCACATGTAGAAAGAGTGAGGGGAGTCAGTAGGGAGATCCCATGTTCTTTTTTGCTCCCTCCTAGCAGTAGGGGTCAGCTGTCCTGCTGCATTTCAGAGCTGGTATATCCCAAGGGCCTCCAAGAGAAAAACATGTAACTTGTATGGCAGCCAACCTGTGCAGGAAGTTTGCTACATTCTTTCCCTGGCCTTGCTCTGCAGAGTCCTTCCTGCTTTTGAGTTGCACAGTCCTGCTGCTGGTGCAGGTTGCTAATTAACAGCATGGCTGAAGCTTTGGGGGACCTATCTCACACTTCTTGTTAAGATGTGTTGTCCTGAAAGAAGAATTGGCTATTGTCAAGAATTAGACTGACCTCAATAACACTTTAAACAGTTTCTTGAAATGGCATCAGATGCAGTAATGTTTAATTCTACATGCTGTACTTGGGAATTGGATGCTTGGAGAAATTTTTGGCGAGTTGGTAACCTTTCCTTCCATCTCATTTTTCAGATGTGGAGTCATCACTCAGCAGCCAGTCTCCCATTTACTCCCCAAGGCAGACAGAGAGCTATTTCAGCTCCAGTCCTGACATGGTGAGTACTGCCCCTTTATGGGTTTGCAGAGGTTCATTTGAATAATACCTGTATTTCTGAGTGCATCTAAGGGTGGGTGTAGCTGGAATGTTATTTATGGTTTTATTTTGTGCAAAACTACTTCATGTGTGAGGAAGACAAGAAATAAGCTGTAAGTTTTCCTAAATAGTTTACCAGACATGTGGTCTGGCTCTGGATAATGCCAGGGTGAATTACAGTAATATCACTGTGGGAAGACGCTAAGCAAGCTTCTTGATGTACAGCTGCCTTACATTATGTGCCTCAAGGTGCACCAGGGGAGGTTTAGCCTGGATATTAGGAAAAATATCTTGATTGAAATAGTGATCAGGCATTGGAACAGGCTGCCCAGGGAAGTGGTAGAATCACCATCCCTGGAAGTGTTCAAAAACTGTGTAGATGAGGCCCTCAGTGACATGGTTTAGTGGTGGACTTGGCAGTCCTGGGGTAAAGGTTGGACTTGACGATCTTCAAGGTCCTTTCCAATCTAGTTGATGCGATGATTCTATGCCTGTAAGGTAGGAGGATTTGACACACTCTGTGTTTTCACCCATTCTTGAATACAAACATAACACAATGGAAGCTCTTTGTGAGAGTGAAGATGTGCCTTACCCATTTTCTTCTTTCACAAAGGCCAGAAACACACCCTTGGAGAAAGAATGGGGGGGGGGGGGGGGGGGGAGGGGGAGGGAGATAGGAGAGAAACAGAACCAAACACAATCCAAAAGGCAAACAAACAAAAGCAGACAGTTCTGGCCTTTCTGTATATTTCACGAACTTAGTTATTAGTTAGTCATTAACTTAGTCCTTAGCTATTGAACTGCTTAAACAGTTGCATTCACTCAATTCTGTTCATACAGTCTGAAGAGGAAGACATAGCCCAAAAGATGAAATATAGGGATGAACAGTCTTTGAAGAAAGATGATGCCAACCTAGCTCCAGCAAGCACAGAGCCGCCTAAGACTTCTCACACTGGAACTGTGCCTCTCCAGCCCAGCAGTATTTTGACTAGAGAAGAAGCAAACCACCCTCATGAGAAAAACTCTACTTTATGTGCGCCAGAGGAGGAAAATAAAGCCCACACTGCCCCATCTGAGGGCAGCTCGTTACATCAAGCCCATAAGGGAGAGCCTGCCACTCACAGTAGCAGGCGCGATGTCTGGGTACAGACGGAAGGCTCTGTGACACAAATAAGTAAGGTGGATGCTGCCACCCAGTGTGGCCCTACACCGGTGTGCAGCTGTGGGCGCTCCATCCCCGCGGCCCCTAGCACCGCTGGAGGGCACAAAATGCCAGCGCAGGAGGAGCTGCAGCCTCCAGGCTCCGGCACCGCGGCAGCACCCGCCGCGTTTTCTCCTGAAACCGAGTATCTGAGTTTAGCTGGCAGAACGACTCTAGAGATTCTGAACTACATTGATATAATGAAGAGAAAAGCAGTGACAAGCTAGGACAGCACGTAAGGAATACAGAATTTTTGTCCTGTTCTCTGTGTGCTTCATTTAACTGGCTTATTTGGGGTTTTCTATCCTGTTTGGACAAAATGGTTTTTTGCTGTTTGATTTTTATTATTATTAACTATGGATTTCTATCTACCTCCCGCTATCTTTAACTATGAATTTCTATAGATCTCCAACTATTAACGTAGGATTTTACAGTAGCTTTGTAAATGTAACCTTAGGAATTATCTTGGCTTCCCCACCATGTATCTGTAAGATTCTGTAGTTTGGGATTGACTTTGCTTCTCTTGAAGGAAGTGGAAAAGTTCCGTTTCACTTCAGAACATATTTATTTTTGTGGCTCTTAGTTCAGAACCGTTGTCAGATTTTTAGCCATTTTAACAGACAAATTAGCCTTTGCTGCTTGTTTGGACTAAATACAAAAATGGAAAACAACAGAAAATGTACATCTGCATGCATAGATTAGAATGTGATTTTAAAAGAATTGATTAATTGATTTTTAACAAAACAAACAAAAAATTTGATTATATTTCCTTCCATAGCAGCTCTATTGATTCATTCTCTGGCTGTTAATACTGGCAGATCTTGTATGTGTTTCTGTATTTTCCCTGCAGGTTGAAAATCTGAAAAGCTTTCCTCTTCATTATTTGTATGAAGTTAGAAATCTCAACAAATAAAGGTTACTGATAATACTGTTTCTAGGTGTTATTTTCTTCTAAAGAAGTTCCTATTAAAGGCAGCAGGGAGGCTCACTCTATTACTGACGTCTTATATATCCATACACCTTTATTTGTATATACATCATATATGTGGGGAAGTGTCTGTGTATATGCTGGTATTAGTCAGCTGGCTGCATGCAGGGATCCTCTTCATTGCAAACTGGGCTTAAGCAAAAGCTATGCTGGAGACTACTCCTTAAACAGCACAGATTTGTTTTTCCAAGCAAATTAAGAGGTGCTTTCTCCCTTGGAGGCAGCTGGTGAAAGAGTCACTGCTTTTTCCCATCAATCAGGTGGGTTTCTTTTATTTGTATGTTTTGTAATAGAAGGTTTGTGAAGCTGTGTGTCACCCATCCTTGATGAGACCCATCACCATTCTTTGTCTCTGTTCTCATCATCAAACTAGCGGCTGTGTTTTCTGCCAGGTTTTATTTTGGAAGCTAAAACCCATTTTTAAAAGCAGGTCTGCATTGCTCAACAGTTTGCAGGTTTATGGGTCTGCTACTTTTAAAATAGCATCTTAGAAATTTCGGGGGACTTTTCTGTGCTTGGAAGAAAATTGTGTTGTCTTTTATATATAGAAATGGCATACACGGGAAGTGGTTTACACAGCCAGACTTCTGAAATGTGTAACTATCATTTAGCCAGTTTGCTGCCCACTTCCTAAGGCTTGACATAAGCAGATTTTCTTTTTTTAGGTTGCCTCAATTTATTGCCAAGGCAAGCTCCCTAGTGATTTATTACTTTTTTTAAATCTGAAACTGCAATGTTCTTCTTCTTTTCAGGAGCTATAATTTATTTCTCTAACAGCTGTGATTTGCTGAAAGCTCAGCCATTGCTGGCGGTTTGTAAGGCACAGTCGTTCACTCCGCATTGTGAAGTCCATTCAGAGTGTGCCACACCAGCAGCAGCCCATGCTGGCTTCAATGAGTCCATCTCCAAGGTCTGCACTTTCCCAGCAATCCCTCATGCCTGGTACATACCTGGCAGTCTTTCCAGTGCTGCATGTCCCATGCCATGCCCTTCCCCACAGCCAGTGCTGCTCCAGCTCGCTTGGGCTGCCAGCCTACTGCCATATGATACAGCAGAGGGCAGTGAACACACCTTAGAGCTAAAAACACTATACTTTGGGTTTGTGTTTTTGTTAGACTGTCAGATGTAAAATTGCCACATGGCCAGAGAGTTCTGTGGTGGCTGTACTTAGAGAGATGCTGAAATGACCCAAACCAAGGTAAGCTGCCATTAACTTCACAGAATCATAGAGTGGCTTGGGTTGGAAGGGACCTTAAAGATAATCTAGTTCCAGCCTTACCTGCCACGGGCCGGGACACCTTCCACTAGAGCAGGTTGCTCAAGGCCCCTGAGCAACCTGGCCTTGAACACTGCCAGGGATGGGTCATCCACAACTTCCCTGGGCAACCTGTTCTGATGCCTCACCACCCTGACAGCAAAGAATCTCTTTCTAACATCTAATCTAAATCTCCCCTCTGTCGGTTTAAAGCCGTTTTCCCTTGTCCTACCCCTATATGCCCTCTTAAAAAGTCCCTCTCCAGCTTTCTTGTTGGCCCTTTTAGGTACTAGGAGGTTGTTATAAGGTCCCCCCTGAGCCATCTCTTCTCCAGGCTGAACAAATCCAATTCTCTGACCTCTGAGAATATTTGTGGCCCTCCTCTGAACTTGCTCCAACAGCTCCGTGTCCCTCTTGTGTTGGGGGCCCCAGAGCTGGATGCAGGACTGCAAGTGGGGTCTAATTAAAGTGCAGTAGAGGGGGAGAATTCGCTCCCTCAGCCTGCTGGTCACACTCTTTCTGATGCAGCCCAGGACACGGTTGGAGAGTGGCATCACTTCTGAGAATCAAGAATTTTGTTTTATTTTACAGTGAAGCAAGCTACCCGAGTTCAGGTGGGTACTCCTGATCTGCAGAGCTAGCCTCTGACTGGGACATATTCCCAGCCTGCTCCTGGGAAGCTATGGGTCAAAGAGCGCAGGTCAGAACTGGGAAAAGAGAGCTCATTGCACCATGTGGGTGTGTATGTGGGAGGTTTCAAATGAAGCAATACCACTTTATTAAGTTCTCTCTCATATCTCTCATAATTTAGAGCCTTTCAGTGGGTATAGCTGATTTTACTTCAGCCACTAACAGAGACGCTCTCAAAATCTGCCTGGTTCCAGCCAAATTTCAGTCAAGACTGCACCATTTCCCAGTAAGGGCTGAAATTACACAGCTCAGTGCCAAACAGACATTTTCTGACTGACGGTACATACGTAAGAGGTGCATCCACGTCTCTAATGCAATAATTCACCACTTGGGATATGTCAATCACTGTAAATAATCATGTTTCAAACCCTTTGGATGAGAGCCTGTAAAATCCAATTACCTTACAATTTTTACCTGTAATTGCAAAGCAATCAGAAGAAAGCAAGCTATCTATCTTTGTAGAGGCATGTGTGCTGGCAATGATGATAAGGCAGTGAGCTCTTTTTAAGTCACTAGAGAGGTATTTTAAAGTATTTCTGTTACTATTATTGCATCAGAAGAGCATCGTGCTTTCTCCTCATCTCAGCACCAGTCTCCACTTCTGCTCAGGTGATTTTTTCACGTGATTTTTTGGTGACTTTTGGGAAAAGCTGAGTTTGGTGTAGTAGGAATCTCCTTTCTTTCAGTGGTAGCCTCAAATCGTGTTTTCTTCAGGTGATAATTCAGCAGCTGATGCTATTAATCCACCAATATTTGTAACCCGCAGTAATGACCGTCACCCCACTATTACACATCCAGGCACCACCAGCTCTCTCTGAGGCAACAGCACAGGCAGAGATGCTCCTTTTCCATCCACATTAATCTTCCTGCAGTGTGCTAAACCTCTGGGCAGGCGACAGAAAAGTCTGTCTTATTAACTATTTTAAATATCAATAATAAGTTGAGTTTTGAAGGGAACATGACAGAAGGGTACTTGTGATCAACCAAAACCCAGAAGCACTGGTTTAATGGTGGCACTCGAATGCTTCTAAATACAGACTCTTCTCACTGACAGCCTCTGATAGGTTAGAAGTGGCAGTCCCGGTTACCTGAGCCAGATCCTGCTTCCCAGGGCTGGTGAGATCAAACCCTAAAAAGGTTCATAACTCTGTGAACTGAATACTGAATGCTCGCCACCTCACCTAGCCACAATGTTGTAAGTCACATCCTGCATCTTGAGGGGCTTGCTCTGGGTGCTGTAGTTCTTTGGGTGTGAAAGCCTGCAGCGAGCTCCCATGCAGCATGCAGATGGCTGCAGGGGACACTGATACACCAGCTCTGTGTGAGGTGATAGGGAAACGAGCTGAAAGACACAGGGTGGAGGGTCAGTGAAGATGAGGCAGAAGGCTTCAAGAAGGAAGTTGTATTATTTAATAGAGCTGAGATGAAACACTTCCAAATCAACTGTGCATGCTGGCAGAGAGAGAACTGTGATTTACTGCTGCTGTGTCACACTCAGCACATGGGGGCTGGCTGGCCAGAGGGCCCAGAGCTGTGACCAGTCAATAGGACAAGCCAGTACATCACGTTGCAGATGATTTACTCTATTCCCTGGAGTAAATCTGTAAGGAGATCTCTCCAGAGAAGTTGCACTCCCTGCAAACAGATGAATTTTGGGGAACCCCAGGCCAGCTGAAGCTGGCTGGGATCTTTGAGATTACCCAGTACAAGACCTGCTTGAGCTCCGGGCCATGGCCAGCTGCTATCAACAGACACCTGGTCTGGGGATGGGGGGAGAAACTGCCAAGGTTAGGTGACCCCAGGGAAGCTGAGCCAGCTCACAGTGGCTGCTGCCTGCAGCACTTTCCTGCCTGTGCTGGGCCAAGGCAGGAGGGAGGGGAGCTGTAGGTGAGCAAGGAACAAGGCTGGGTACTGCTGTTCTGCCCCCACCTGCCTCTCCTACCTCTGCTCACCCAGGTTTCCCTCAGCAGTGAAGAGCAGCAGTGTTTCACCCCAACACCAGCTCATCCCCCAATGCCAGCCCCAGCACCTCAGGCTAGACTTGGGGCACTCAGCACTCTCCCAGCAGGGACTGGGGTGCCCTGATGCTTTCAGGGTCCCCCTATGAATCCCACCCACCACAATGAGACCTGACATGCAAAGGCAACCCTTGCTGGTACCAGGCTGCAGGTGGCACTCAGCCACTACCCAGCTTCAAAAACTTTGCTGCCCTTGTTTTTTTCCCACCGTTTTTGGCAGCCCATGAGAGGAGCACATCAGGGACACTGCTCCAGCCCCAGCTTAGCTCCAATGCTGTGTGGGGCAGCTGACTCCCCTCTGACTCCCCCCTCCCTGCCCTTCCCAGCCAACTTGGGGGCTGTGAGTACCCCAACACCAGAGAAGC